CCCGGTCCCGCGGCGTGGAGGCAAGAGCGGTGTAAGCACCGCCGTGCCAGCTACTCTATGCGGGGGCTTTGTGGGGGGAAACAAATCGGCCCCAGGGGTGGGCAAAAGGTGGAGGATCCCTGTAGCTCCGCCTGTCTCGGCTCCGCTGAGTCGCCCGGGGAGTTCGTTTGCAAACGAAAAATCCCCGAAGAACGTCGGGGAGCCGGGCACCGCGCTGCCAACCCGCCCGAGTGGGGCTGCTCCCCGCATCCCGCTTCTAGTCGGGTTCCTGGGGCGGCGGGTTTCGTCCCTGGTCGACCCCGCGCAGGTCCCATCCCCACGCCGAAGCCCTCCGAGGGAACTGCAGGTTCTCCGCCTCTCTCTGCCGGGGAAAGGCCGGGGCTTCGCGGGGCCAGTGCGCTCCAACCGAGCCGGGCCGGGCGCGCTGGCCCTGGCCCCGGCTCCCAGTCCAGATGCGGGCACTCGGGTCACATTTATTTTTGATGCAGCGAAGTTTTTTCCCCCGCAGGGAGGTGGTTGCGAGGGGAGGAAGGATCGGGCAATAGGTATACAACGACCTCCAGAGATGGGCTCGGTGGGAGAGCTTCTCTCCGGCCCCGCAGTGCCCCCCCGTCCTCCAGCGCCCCCTCTCCATCACAGATGGGAGCCGGCGGGCCCCCAGCTCGGAGTGGTTGTTTTCCAAGGGGACCAACGCGGAGCAGCGCCCGGCGGCGGCGGGGTCAGGGGGTACCTGTAGGTACATTTTACAGCAGTTTCGGTAGAGAAGACTAGGACAGGGACCTCGGACCCCGCCGTGGCTCTCCCTCCTCCGGGCTTCACAGCGGGTCCCACCAGGCACTCTCCGCCTCTCGGCACCCGGAGCCCAAAACTTGGATGGGGGTTGCTTAAAGACAAAAATAACAGTTATTTCCTAGGTTCCCGGCTCTCCCTCCCGGCTTTTGCGACATGCTGTGCCAGGACTAGCTGTCAGCTCGAGGGCACAGAGTTTTGCTCCTCTCCACGCTGCTAACAGGGAGCAGTAACGTGTTTAGACCACTTAAACTAGGCAGACATAGCTGGGAGCCATGCACGGCTCAGCTATGCCGGGAAAGGAGGTGTCATTTGTACGCAGTTACTTTGGTGATCAACACTTGAATGATATATGCCACCTGCTTTAATTATATTCCTGTGACATTTTCCTGGACAGGAGCGGGCCGCGCACAGCGAGAGCCGGGCAGTCCCGGGAGTGCCCTGCTGCTGGCCGCCGGGCCTGGGACTGTTCCGGGGAGGGCATGCACGCCTACCCCCCGAAATACGGCTCTGAGGACGGCGAGGGGAGACGCCTCCAAAGATGCTATCCATAGCCATAGATTTATTTTTTTGTTGTTTCCCCACTCACAAGTAGTTTCGTATTCAGCGGCGGTTTTCTGCTCCGTGGAGGAGGAAGGGCCGCAGCTTTACTGGCTTTTCTTCCACAGAAGAAGGCAGGGACCAGGAGGGACGCTTCCCCGACGGTTTCGGGGGACCCCGTCATCCATTCCCGGGCACACCCAAGGGCCGCTGTTCCTTCCAGCTCTGCTCGCCTCCCTGCCTCTCGGCCGGGGACCCCACTCAAACTTCTCGTACCCGCACAAGGAATAGATCAGTGACAGGTCCCACTCACAGCAATTGAAGCAGGCAGAAGTGGGGAGATTGGAGCGCATCGGATGAGAGTGCTTTTCCCCAAACGACCTCAAAGCTGGGACACACGACTACCAGCTGCCTTCCGGCGGGCCGGGCAGAAGAGCCTAGCAGGATGGGAAGCTCCGTGGCGGTGGCTGGAGCAGGCCCCCAACTGTCCTCTGTGCCCCCTTGCTCCCCGCGACCCTCTGAGGACAGGGAGGTGCAATGGGACATGCTGGGGAGGGGGGGAGGGCACTGAGGGTCTCTAATTCGGGGTTGAGTGCCAAGAGGGCTGCCGAAAAGAAAATTAAAATAATTAAATTCCAAGGAGTGAGAGGGGGGATGCTGAGCTCTATCGGTAAGCCAGGGTGGGGGCAGCCCAGCTTGCCCCTCCTCTGATTTTCGGCCACCCCGGAGCGCAGAGAGGGAGTTGTTTGCGAGGAGCGAGATGCAGTGGTTGCAAAGGAAAAGTGAGCGCAGGGAAAACGAACCCAAATCCGCCAAAGGCGCCACCGGGCAGCCGAGAGCACAGAGGAGAGGAGAGTCGGTCGGAGGCCGTCGGGACAGCCACCGAGCGCCGTGGGGCTCGGGGGGCAGGGACCTGCCCCCTTCCCTCTCAGCCACCCCTTTTCTCAGTGAGGTGCTGTCCCGGGGGGACGCTGGGCACAAGGGCAAGCGGCAGGTCTGGAGCCATCGGGCTGAGCTCATGCAAAGCATGAACCCGGCTATCCCCTGACAGGCAGCGGCCGAGGCAAACGAAGAGGAGTCCCTCTGTGCCGAAGAGTCTGTACTGACGCTGCTGTCCGCCCTCGGCTGGGCTCTGCCTCTATTAGGAAGCCGGAAAAAAAAAACCCAACAGGGTGCATTTAAAGCCCTGTCCTGCCGCGTAGGCAAAGAGGGGAGATGCGGGCTAGAGGGACAACAGGAGATTGAAAACGATTTTCAGGGTTTCGCTGTGTCTGGTGCACTTTTGCCCGTGCCCTGAGTGGAACGGGCTGCACTCGAGATGGGGGCGCAAGTTGTGCCCTGGGTCTGCGCTCCGCGGGGAAGGCTGCAGCCGCTAACTGGCAGGGCCTCGGAGCATCCCATACGCCGTTCAGCCCACCCAAACTCGCATCCAGGAATGAGACTCTTTTTATTTCGGTTTTCCCCCTTTTTTTATTTTTTAAAGTCTTATTTCTGTGGTTACAACACCAGCCTTCCCGTCCGAGTTCTCAATAAAACCCGAATCCTGACATAAAACGCCACACTAGAAAATAATGTGAGAGGACACAAGGGAGAGGAGGAAAGTCTCTAATTGGTTAAAACATGTTTAAATCACTTCATAAAACCCAAGCAAAGCGAAGCAAATAATCCACCTAGCAAAGCAAAGAAGCTAGGCGATTTAGAATCAGTGTAATTCGCTCCCCCCCCCCCAACCGGCTCCCCCCTCCAGTTCCTCGCAGTATTTGATATGATGAATAACCCAATATAGGCCTTTAAAAATAGGTCACTGCATAAAGAGACTCCCAGAGAGCTATAAAAAATGGGAAGAGGGCGCTTTAAGGAGAGGAGCCATTTGCTTCTTTTGTGCTTGTTTGGTACCTAGCGGCCTGGGAGCTGCCAGCCGTCCTCCTCCCGGCCCTCAAGGTGAGGAGGGAAAGTTAGGACCGGATCCGGCCCCGGCCTCTCCTCCTGCTCCACCGCCCCTCCAGCCACCGCCCGCCCCGTCCAGCCCCGGCCCGGCCCGCGGGTCGCGTCCCGGTCGCCCCACGGGGACCGAGGGGTACTCACGCCTGAGGTGGGGGCAGGCTGCTTACTCCCAGCTCTGGGCTTTGTCTCCGTCCCTGTGGAACGGCGAGGCACAGGCGGGATGGTGGCCCCGGTGAAAATACTGAGGAGCGGGTCTGTCCCTGCCGCGCCGGGCCGGGTTCCCCCGGGAGTGGAGGGCACAGCAAGCCCTGCGCCGCTGCCCCTCTCCAGAGCCGCCCATGGGCTCGCAGCAAAAGGCCTCGGACTGGAAACCGGCCCTCCCCGGCCCTTTCCCCCCGCGCTGCCCCTGGCCAGGACTACCCGCCATCCCCGGCGCCAACGGAGCCCAAGAAGCCGCCGACGTCCCGGGAACGAACCCGGCCCGCGACCCGCCGCGCAGCCCTCCGCGGGCACTCTCGGCACCAGCACCCTCCCGGAGGGGCCTGCTCCCGCCCCGGGCCCCGCAGCCCGCTAAAACACAGGGCGCTGGGAAAGAGGAGCACGACAAATTCGGCGGAAACCTTCGGATTTTATTGTAAAGGAAAGGTCTGCCTTACCTGGAACCAGGCTCTCCCCTTCTTCCCCTCATTAAAAAAAAAAAAAATAAATAAAATCAAACGGCTCTGCGTAGAGCCGGAGAGAGACATTTTAAATAACCTGGTAGCCGAAATTAACAGGAGGAAGAAATGGAAGAAAAAAACAAAACAAAAAAAATCTCAGGGGGCAGAAAAAAATATATACAGCCGGATATTTTTCGTTTTGGTTTGTTTTCCGTTATTATTTTTCACTATACTGTATTATCCTGATGCAATAAAGGTTGGTTTGTAATGTAATTTAAAAATATATATGTCCAAACAAATAGCAGGGCCAGAATATGACAAGTGCATTCAGCATTATAATTCAACTGGGCTCCACCTCCATACCGCCTCCTAATTAATGGGTCTCCGAACTTGCAAAAGCCTGCATTGGACAGAGAGAGAGAGAGAGAGAGAGAGAGCGAGAGAGAGAGAGAGAGGGCGAAAAGTGTCATTGAAGATAATTGATTACCTCCCAATCAACAATAACTTGTTAGCAATAGTCAATTACCCCATCTCTTCTTGCTTCTTTCCCCCTGGTCTGAGGTCTCGGTGCGAGGGCTGCTCTCCCCCTCGCCGAAGTCTGCTTTTTCTTTTTTTTTTTTTTTTTTTTTTTTATTTTTCTTTGGGGGGGGTTTTGGGGGGGGGGGGGGGCAGGGAAAGTGCTGTGATTTGGGGTGTTTCTTAAAATAGCAGCAAGGAAGAGAAAGAGAGAGGAGAGAGAGAGAGAGTGAAGAGAGAGAGGGGGGGAAAAATCTCCGACCCAAAACCCTGGGACAAGAGGTACGGCAGGACCACCTCTCGGCGAGGGACCGACGGCAGCTCTGCTCCTCTCCGCGCCCGCCCGCCCGCCGCCCGGCCCGCCCGGCCCGCCGCCCGACGTGGCTCTCCCCGGGAGGACCCGGGGCTCCTCCGCCGGAGTTGGAGGTGGGCTTCAACTTTTGCTCGCTGTCTTCGCCGCCGTCACCCCGCGGTCCCGCCGGGGACTTCTGCCCGCGGCAGCGCATCCCCGTCGCGGGTGGGGAAGGCAGCCCCGCGCGGCCCGGCCCCACCATGACTTCCAAAGAAGAACCCAAGCCTTCCTCGGGGGAAGAACGGCGGCGGAGCCCCTTGGATCACCTCCCACCGCCGGCCAACTCCAACAAGCCCCTCACCCCCTTCAGCATCGAGGACATCCTCAACAAGCCCTCGGTGCGGAGGAGTTACACCCTCTGCGGAACGGCACACCTCCTGTCCGCTGCCGAGAAGCACCCCCCGGCCGGGCTGCCCCTCTCCGGCCGGGCGCTGCTTTCCCAGACCTCGCCCCTCTGCGCCCTGGAAGAGCTGGCCAGCAAGACCTTCAAAGGGCTGGAAGTCAGCGTGCTGCAGGCGGCCGAAGGTAAGACCCCCTTGGAGTGGGGGGATCCTCCAGCGGGTGGGTGCCCCGCTCCTCCCCACGGCCTGGTTTTCCTTCTCACCTCCCCCACCCCCCACCATCTCCCGGGGTGTCGCATGGGATGGGATGAGGGGGGTCCCTTGGCGGCCGGTACCCGGCGGCATCCTCGCCCCGCGGCCCTCGGGGTGCAGGAGCGGCTGCTCTGCCCCACTCCCTCCAGATACCGACGGGGCAGGGGTGTGGGGGCCGGGGGCTCGGGTCGGGGTGGACATGTGGAAAGCGGGTACAATCTGGCGGCTCGTCGGCAGGCCGGGACGGGATGACGATCTTCGGGCAGCGGCAAACGCCGAAGAAGCGTCGGAAGTCGCGGACGGCCTTCACCAACCATCAGATCTACGAGCTGGAGAAGCGGTTCCTCTACCAAAAATACCTGTCGCCGGCGGACCGGGACCAGATCGCCCAGCAGCTGGGGCTCACCAACGCCCAGGTCATCACCTGGTTCCAGAACCGCCGCGCCAAGCTCAAGAGAGACCTGGAGGAGATGAAGGCCGACGTGGAATCGGCCAAAAAGCTGGGCCCTAACCCCTCCGTGGACATCGTGGCCTTGGCTGAGCTGGAGCCCAGCGCCGAGGGAAGGGGCAAGGCGCGGCCCGGGTCCCCGCCGCCGCCCCCCGCCGCCGCCCGGGAGCCCGGTGCCCCGCCACCGCCCCGCCCCGCCTCGCCCCCCACGGAGCGGCCCCGCAGCCGCCGGGACAGCGAGGAGGAGGAGGAGGAGGAGGAGGAGGACGTGGAGATCGACGTGGATGACTGAGGGGCGGCCGGCGGCCCCCCCCCCCCCCCCTACCCCCCCCCCCCCCATCCCGACAGCTCCAAACCGGCACCCTCGGCCCCCCATCCCGGCCCCGGCAGCGCGGCGGGGCGGCTGCTCCCCTCGGTCGGAGCAATAAGCAATAGAACCCCACCACAGACACACACAGATCTCGATTAATTTAGGGTAGAGTCGATATCCCTCCGCCTGCCACATCTTCGGAACGGTGCAATTACGGACGGCTTCTGTATAAATATTTAAACGTATATATTGGATTTTTTTCCTTCCCCATTCTTTTTGAGGTTTTGATTATTATTTTTTTAATAGCTATCAATGATGATTATTTTATCTAAAAGGGAGAGGCATAACCTTGGAATAAACTCGGCTTCCAGCAGATGTTTGGGAAAGCAGTTGTTTTCAAAGACTTCCGAAACGAACCACTTTAGAGAAGATTTAAGTTAGGCTTAAAACGGCAACAGCAAAGAATTAGCCAATTTCCTTTCCTTGCATGTTTCGAATGTGCACGAACTATTTTTTTCTTTTAAAAATATTTTTTCTTCTGCAATCCGGGGAACTTGGGGCTGGGTTATAATGCAAGTTGAAAAATATATACTTTCTTTTTTTTCTAGAGCATAGAGATTTGTCTCCAATGCAATTTCTGCCTCATTTTACCAATTAAAAGCTATTTTTACCATTTTCTGCTATGTTTGTGCTTTTATTAAAAGCTACCTTTCGTATTTTTGATATGAAGGTGGTAACAAAAAAAAAAAGGAAAATGAAAAAAAATCCTAGAATTATTTTTTACTCTTTTTAGAATTTTTGCATGCTATGGAAATAAAAAAGGACAAATCCCAAAATCACTACATTTAAATATTACACTATAAATTAATAAAAATGTACAGATTTAAGACTTGTTTTTGTTTGAATTGTACAAATTTTAAAAGGCCTGCTATTTAAGTTCCGATAGGGACAATGTCGCTTTATTTACTGTCTCTTAGAATTGTACAGATAGCTCTTTTTTCCGATACAATAAAATCTTTACCATTTTAATATACTTTTTGACGTCCTTCTTTGTGACCGAAAAAACACTCCGTCGGTCCGAGGTTACGCCAGACTTTTCTATCACAGAGATCTCCCATCCCGTTTGCATTTAAAGTTACTTTATGCACAGTACCTGCAAGAAAAATGACAGGAAAAGAACACACGAGAGAGACCTTTATTATTATAATTTCTTTTTTTAAGGCTAACGCCAGGTAGAGCTTAGCAGAGGGAGAACGCGGCAGACCGATAAGGCAATAGGTGCAGGCAGCGCTTCCTGGGCGCGGGGGATGCGCAGCGGCAGCGGGAGAACGGCGGGGCGAGCAGGACCACCGGCACCCCCCACCCGCCCCGCCGCTCTCGACGCCAGCAGGGCATTTCCAGCCCGAAACTGGAGAGGAAAAGAAGGGGGGGAGGAAAAAATTATAGAAAGAAAAAAAAAATCTGAGCTGGGGGAAGGTGTTATCACCGACTCGGACAAAAGAAGCGGGGGGAGCTGCTGTACGCCCGGCGGGCCAGGCCTCCCGCTTCTGGGCAAAAGCTGCCATGGGGACACGAGGATGGAAAAACGTTTCGTTTCCTTCTTTTCTTTTCTTTTCTTTTCTTTTCTTTTCTTTTCTTTTCTTTTCTTTTCTTTTCTTTTCTTTTCTTTTCTTTCCTTTCCTTTCCTTTCTTTTCTTTTCCTTTCCTTTCCTTTCCTTTCTTTTCTTTTCTTTTCTTTTCTTTTC